CATATTGTGATTTTGTTTAGAACTTGTTCTACCCTTCTAGTTATGAGATTTTTTTACTCTTGTTGCTTATCTTCTTTCCTGTAAAATATAAACAGAACATACAACTTTACGTTTTACTATTTTATATTTTTCTTAAAGAGGTAAGATCATGCTTACCTTTCTTAACAAAATTATAAACAACATCAACTAATTCTCATATTATGATAAATAACTGTTTGAGATACTCTGGAGGGACTTAGAGATCTTTCACTCTTGAAGGTATTGAAGAGCCTTGACACCTGGCTCTACGTGAGCCTGCCTGAGCAGTAGTGATGGACTGGATGCCTTCACGAGGTCCCTTCCAACCTTAACCATTCTGTGATTCTATCATTCCTTATGATTTCCAGCAATATCTCCTACTAGATGGAAAACCATGGTTTTCCCATTTGCTGATTGTTTACTGATTACTCCCCTTCAAAATTAAGAAACAAAAGAGGACTTTTCTCCTGTTGGTTATACGTAGATACCATTGTTTCTGGGATTCCCCAAAACTGACTTTGGTTAATGTTAACTTATTACTATTTTTTCACTTTAGAATGTCAACTGAATTCAAAGCATGATAAATTTGTTTCTTCCCCTCTGATCTGAAGCGTACACCTGGCCTGAACAAGCATATAAACATTACTAACAAAATGTCAGTTATCTTCACTAAAAGGCTATTTGTATTATGAAAGAGTACCTATCTCACAGCAGAATATATTTTTTCATCAAATGCAGTTACCAGCACCTTCAATATGCACACATTTTCAATATGCACCCTAATCCTTAACTGTTTGTATAAAAGATGCAAAGTTGTTCATCAAGTATGCAGACTTCCCACCTAACTGCAGCATGGTCTCACTGATTTAGTCCTCAATTTTCCCCTACTCAAAACTCTCATAATTCACTGGTTTCCATATCTTGTTATCTATTTTTCCATCCTCAGAAAATAGGGGAATGACAAAGGCAAGATCAAAGGCATTCATTAGCAAGATCCTTAGCTTGACAGATTTTTATTCTGTTTAAAGGCAAACAGGCCAGAAGGTGAAATACGAGAGCATATATTTGAAACAGGAAGGAACTTTTCTTCCTTTTGATCAGCACAGGAAGCAGAATGACAACAATAAAGGTAGGAGATCTTGCAATAAAAGAAAATTAACCATGCACAAGGGAAATACAGCATATTCCTGTAAGTAGCTTTATAAACCAAAATCTTCCCTAAATAGATGCCTTGATAGTTCCAAGTCCAGTTCAATGACATACAGCTGATTGAAGAAGAAAACAAAATCCAGCTCTCCCATGTGGGTAAGCTTCTGAAAAATGGTACACTTAAATCAGCAATCTCCACCACACATGGACCATAATTACAAAAATAATCTCCAGTCTCTCAAAATTCCTAAGATACTTTTAACTCAAAGTGTGAAGTCACTTGTTGGTTTCTCAGACCTACTAAAGCACAGAATTACTTACTCTTGACAGGGACTGGGAGAAAGGGTCCAAATAAAAGCAAGTTCAGTTTTAACCACTAGGACTATATAGAAGAGACCAGACATCTATGTGCCCAAGACTCTCCTTCCAAATCTTACAGGCAGCTCTAATTTTGCATGAAGTACACAATTTGTCTCAAAGCAGGTATCTAGACTGCACAGTAAATGAAGTAATAGAAACTAGAATTTAATTCACAGGCTATGTCAGCCGCCTAACAGGCAACAAAGTCATGGAAACTTACTAAAAGATCTAAAGCTCATCTTTAAAATGTAAATAAATTCCAGGACTTGACAGAAAATTCATTTAACTTCAAACATTTCATTTCATGTGTCACTCTTCACTGTTGAAATACTGAAGGAAGAAAGAGAGGGTGCTGTAAAAAGCCATTAATAGTACATTTTGATCATTTGTGTACTCAGCTGTTGAGCCCAGTGTCTGTCCCACACCACTTCAAAATAAGATTAGTGCCAAATGCAGCACTAAACTCATGGCATGCTTGTAGAAACAAAAGCACTAACTGCCTGCCCAAAACAAGCTTCAGGAGAGGTAAATGTGGGATCCTGTGATGGTTTTTTTAATATTCACAATATGGGATGTTTGTTTGGGTACAGCACAGAATGAGCTTCATGCACCTTATACTTTTAAAGTCCTAGACCTTCTATTCACTGAAGCACCCTAAGATATTTCCTATGTGCAATCTACATGCTATCTCTGTGAGAACTAAAATTAATTTATTTTCAAAATTCTACCTTGTCTCTATTTAAAAAGTTTTCATATTTTTCATTTTGATTTCTCACTAACATGCTGACATGTAAGAAATAATAGGAAAGATTTTTTTATTTCTTGAAATTAAGTGAAAATCAAAATAACAAAATCTGGAAACAAGGAGAATCTGGAAACAGCTTAGAATTAATCTGATGCAAGTGTCTAAATGATAGCAACAAGAAAAAAAGGTTAAAGTGCAGAGTAACTAACAACTATAAAAGAAGATAAAAAGCCATAAGAAAAGATACTATAAATACACTAGAAAAGGAGAACAAATTAAAATACAGAACTATTACATCTTAGCAAATAAGAGATGATACAAAGAATTCCAAGTGTTCAATATTTTCCCTGCTTCAGTCTTTACAAAAAAAAAAAAATAAAAAAAAAATAAAAAAAAAATCAGTTGCAGCCAGATGCTTAACAGCAGTGATTTTAAGAGGAAAAGCTGCAAGGCAGACAAGGGATACGCTGGTGATTTAGATACATTCAAGTTAGCAAACTCTTGTGAAATTCACTCTAAAGCATTTAACTAACTAACTGAAGAAACCCCTAATCCATTAGCAACTGTCTTTCAGAGAACAGAGAGGCCAGAGAAGAGCGAATACATATCTTTGAAAAACAAAAAGGGAAGATGTGGGCAATTACTAACTACCAAGCCTAAATCAGACAACAGCAAGGATTATAGACAAAGCTGTTAAATAAATAATGTATCAACATCTAATGGAATAGGAAGGTGATAAGAACGAGCTGACATGAATTTATCAAGAATGAATCACATTAAATTAGTCTAATTGCATTTTCAATTGCAAAACTTTCCTAGTGGATAAGAGAAAGAAGCAGATGCAAAATGCTCCAGCTGTAAGACTCTGTTTACTATACTAGATGATACTTCACTAAAAAAAAAAAACCTAGAGAATTACAATCTATGTGAAAACACTGCAAGGTAGAAAAACATCTGGTGGGAAAAAACACACTTACTGAGTAGCTTTCAAGGGCTGGTTGTCAGATCTGAAATGGGAAGATCATGAAGAGGTCTGACAATATTTCCATTAATGATCTGGATGAAGAAATAGAGAGCACATTCATGAAAGTGAACTTATTATCAGGCTGCGAGTGATTTAAAGCACTCTGGGGGATGGGATTCAATTCCTATATTATCTTGACAAACCACCAGAAAGCATCAAGTACCAGCAAGGAACAGTGAAGAATGTTTCATTTCTGAAATAACTATGAAAAACAGACTCCAACAATGGTGACCAGGTACCTTCACCCAGTCCAAGTATAGGACCCCGTAGAGCTGCAGAGTTAGAAAACTGTGAGGCAAGGAGAGGTACAAAATGCTGCAAAATCTATTTTAGGTACAAGAAAGTATAGGTATAGTTCCACATAAAAGTGGAAACTTCACAATATTCTGAAGGAAAGACAAAGATGTAGGATTGAAGAGTGGATTTAGGCATTAATTATTGAACGCTCATATCTGATTGGTTTGTATCTCCAGAGAGTGAATAAATAAGCCTTTCTGAAATTCAAAATATTGCTTCTGTATCTGTGCATAGCTTGGCTACAAGTCTGAAGAAGAAAAGCTTGAAAATTACACTCACATCCATCACAGTCAGGCAACAGTGAGGCTGCAAATCAGAGATGCTGACCAGAGCTGGTTTAGCTCCTTACAGGCAGATAGAGCAATTTACTAGAAAAGTATTTCAAAAAAGCTACGTAACTATTATACAAGTTTGAAAATTGCTTAGAAGCTTAGAATAATCAACCTAAAACATTTGGGAGACTGTGATTTGGGAAAACTAGTCTTGGGTATTTGGCACAATTTGAAAAAATGCTGAATCTCAAAATTAATTCCAAAACAGATCTTCCGTTCCTCATCTAGCTCTCTCTGACCTCACTATCTGTAAATTCTCCAGCGAATCAAGAACTTCCACAGACAAAATTTAATGAGAGAAGAAATAAACGTTTCTCACACAAATATCTCCCAGATCATGTCACACCTAGTTTTCATGTAGAATGGTGAAGAGTACTTGTCATCATTTCATACTTTAAAAATTCTTAGCAGTATTTGCTCCCACAAATGTATTTCAGAATTCTCTTCTACAGGAAAGAAAGCAAAAGGAAAAAAAAAAAAAAAAGAGAGGAGCTATTCCTGATCATATCCAGTAAGCCTCAGAGCTGTTCATTACACAAGTGTTTAAGGGAGAATACATGGGGGTTTATTATGAAATAACTGTATTTCATGATTCTGAGTATTTATTTGAGATGCTTTAAAATATTTTAATTTCTTTTTGAAAACTAGAAGGTCAATGAAATCAAGGCCACAAAACAGGTAAATATTTTTCAATAACAGGTCTGAACTGCATCAATGAGGTTGAGGTTTTACAAAGGTTAATCCATTTAACTACCACACAAAGGAGCAATCTCCCTGCTGCATGTTCCCACCATTTTCATCAAACCAGCCTCTTGTGTTGATTTCCTTACGAGCTAATTCAGCTCACTAAACTGGTAGAAAACTAAAGCAAAAAAAGAAAAGGTGGTGCAGGGGTAGTAGTTTCAGAAGAGCTCCTAAATTATCTCAGGCAATCTGTAAACCTTAATAGGAATGTAAGTGCTGATGTCAATGACCTTGGTCTTCATTGACTAGAAGACCACCTTCCTGATACATACTTCCAAATTACAATTCAGGCTGCATGGTTACATTAAAAAACTAAAATCAATCAACTTACTGCGAGACAGATTCTCAAGGGCTTTTCCAAGCTTTTTGCTCTCTTGAAGAATATGATTTAGTTCATCAAAATCATGGTTCTCCGGTTTTGTCTTCCAATCCCATTTAGGATGCTCTATTGACCTTGGCACTAAATATACACAGATATATAGATGAAGTTTAGATTTGGTAGTTCAGACTCCTACAGTAGGAAAAAATCTGCACAGTGAATTTACAAGCCCAAGGATCTTGGGTGGAAATTACTTAACTATCCTTTTATTTTAACTGCTGGAAATATTTTCTTCGGTCAATGTGAAGTAAAAACATCTGTGAATAAATGCATAGCTGAATTATTCTTGCAACAAATTAACTGGTAAACAGGATAATTAACATTAATAATTGAAAATAATAAAACTAACATATAAAAAAATGTATTTAAACTATTGTACATGATGGTATCTAATTTACAACAAAACAGAATTGTGTGGCCTAGGAATCAATAAGAAAAAATGTCAAAAGAAAAATTAGTAACTTTTAGCTTTGCTAGTTATTTTATCAAGAAAAAAATAGTTTAGACACAGCTTTTGAAACCAATTTTTTCTTTTTCAAAAATCATATTGTGTAGATAACACAGTTCATAAAAAATAGTGAAACAAAGTAAGTCCCTGTCACTCATATTGTACAGCCTCTAATCTTCATTGCACTACTTAAATAAGCTCAGCCTTTGGGAAGCACAGACCTGAGCTTACAACCTGCTGCTCATTATCTATTACCAAAGTCTTTAATTTAAAATAACAGTATCTCAACTGCTGAGCTAAGTTTACCTAAAACGAAGAGGAGTGTCTGAGATATGTAGGACGCACAATGAACAGAGCTTGTTTGAACAATGTGAACATTTTGAACAATTTGTAGAAATGAAAACAGAAACAGTGCTGTTTCTGGAAATTCAGTTTAACATGTTCCTTTTGCCAGTGTTCAGAATTAAGTGAGCTGCTGCTTTTGCCAAGAAATGCAACTGTTGGGTTGTCTCCAAACACAGCATTACCATGCTCATGTGAAGATGATGATGCCTAGTCCACCTTTCCACCAGAAAGGACCAGTTGCATTTTTACCAACCATCATTTATCAGTTGCTGACTTAAAAATAACTTCAAAGAAAAGCCTAAAATATCCAGTATATCCTGGCCAGCTTCAAAATATTTGTTTACTAATTTGACAGCTGTCAACTAATCTATGCTTATTAACATCATTTTCACTACATCTAAGAAGGCAACTTACAGACTCCTATAGGTTATACTAAAAAGGTGGTTTCATGACTTCAGACTGCTTTTATGATGGTATGGGGAAATCATACTCAGACATCAAGTCTGGTAGCTATTACAAAATGTCCTAAATAACTTGGTACTGAAATTTGCCTTAATGCTGACTTCCCTCTATATGAATATATAATCTGCTCTACTTTGGATCAACTTCAACTTTCCCTTGTGGAGTTAAGTCAATAGTCACCTTTTTCAGGTAAAGAAATGGGACAAAGTTATGTTGAAGTCCTTCTTTCACAAATAACATGATTCTACCTCCTGTAGACATAAACCAACTCATCTTCAAAATAGACATCTGTGAAGAGTCTGATAACCCAGAGTGTATCCTGATCTGTAATACCCACTCAGGAACCTGGCTATTAGGGAAGTTAATTTATTAGACTGCAATTACAGACATTCACAAAGACAGAAGACAAAAGAGACATTTAAAAAGACCTTCAATGATAAGAATAGAAGGAAAGGGACACAAGAACCTTCAATAAGGAGAAGGGAAGAGAGGACAAGTTGAAGTGTCAGAGTCTTGTTCTGCTCTGTGTTCAAAAAAGGCAAGCAATGTATTTCCTTCTCAGAACAATGGAAATAATGAGCTATAGTGGTTCCCAGTAAATACATATAGGCTTTAAGGTATTAGAGTATGAATAGTCCCTACTCAGATGAGCAGCTTGGAATTTTTTGTTGATACTTATAAACTTCAAACACTATTTTATAAGTTCCTGGTTTAAGAACTGCTAGGTCAATTAAAAGTTACATAAATTCTTGTGTAACAAAAGTTGACTCCATTCACAGACTGTAGAATATACAAATTAAACAGCACAACTTCAGCATTTCTCATCCTTTTTTTGCTTATTTACAGAAAACAAAATGTTCCACCTAGTATGTTTTCAAAATTATTACTAACTGTAAATATAAATTTTTAATAAACTAGGAAAGAAATTCTATAGAGTTCTCTCTCTTTCTGAGTCCTTTCGCAGTCATTTTACCATCATCCTTCTGTGGGTCAACACTACATTTTACAGCAATCACTCATTAGCAGTATGACAGACTTTCTATGTTTATGCTGAATTTGCCACACCAAAAAAAATCTCACAGTACCACAATACAAACAGGCAACAACTTAATATAGTAAAACCGTAAAAAAAAATAAATGACCAAACCTTGGAGCTTCCAAGACTGCAGAAAATTTACATAAGCTAGAATTTTATACTATGGCAGTTTGAAACAAAACACATTTTTCAAAATAAAAAAAGGGTTTTTGAGAAACCATATGCTTTTGAAGCAAAATTTGTCATGGGACAGAAGCTGGATGAAAGAAATATAAGTTCTGCTTGACAGCTGTGGAGTTTCCAGGATCAGCAACTGCCAAGTATACAGACAAGACTCTGGTTCTTGACATGTACGGACACTTGCTCAAGACAGTGACCTGGTTGAAAATTTCAGAGAAATGTCTCACAAACACAGGAAGCTTGGACTGCAACTCGCTAGATGGATAGTGGGAAATCGGGCAAAACCATGGTGGAAATTTGCTTTGCATGCTGGTGGACAATCAGCTGTGTTTTACTGGGCCATTTTGTACTTCAGTAAAAAGGTACAAAATAGATATGCTGTCATGAATTATTTCTATGTTTCAATACAATTTGTTTGAACAATGATTTGGCTCATTCTGAGGAATCAAAACAGAGGGGGAAATTAAACAGAATCAGAACTGACTGAAATTGTTATTACTTCCAGAGAAGACGTAGTTCTTCCTACTTACCTAGTCTCTCAAATAATAAATGGATATTAAAACAACATCTATTTAGGAGAAACATGTGGCACGTGTTTGTTCTTTCAAGTTCATTTCCTTCTTGCTTACAGATTTTTCAAAATATAAACCCTTATCTTCTCAGCTGTAGGATCAACAAGCACTGGTAATTTTCAAATTAATGTCTTTGCTGGAAGCATTCAGAACTGTACAAACACCATATGACCCTTCTTAGGAATCTGCTCAAATACACGATCCTCCTCTGTATGCACAAAGTCCTTCATTAATCGTTTACGTGCATGTGTCACTACACACTTAGCAAAATCCTTTCATTATACATTGACCTTCATCTTTCTTCATTACATTCACTCATTCCACAAAATTATATCAGGAATTTCAAATCTCTTATCACATTACCCACCTCAACCTCATCTTTGTTATTTGAGAGATTTATATGTTATATAACACTTCCTCTTGAAATTATTTGCCTACAATTCAGAAGATTAACTACATCTACGTTGTAGCATTTGTATTGAAAGACGTAGAATTTCTCTTTAGGGAGCTGAGATTTCACCATCTCATCTTAGGAGACTGGACAGACACACTTGCCAGTAATTCTGATTTTCTGGTGGTGTGCACTGACCATAAATGCACATTAGATTCATTCCTAATTGTTATGAACTCTGCCACAAATCAGCACACCTTTATTTTCTACTGGATGATGGTACAAGATCAGTACTGGTTTCATCTACCCATACAAGTCTTTTCAATGCATGATCTGCAGACAGAATCAGACCAATTGCTTATTAAAATCCAACATTTCATTAATGCATTGTATGGCCATCTTACATCTCAAAGAACAAAAATATGTATAATATAATTGAGTGTAAAATTACTCATTATTTAAATATTAGCAATTTTACTATAAAGTAATAGCATTCAGGTTGGAGTTCTTTGATAATAAATCCAAACTGGTTTACATAGTATCTGGATATTAAAAGGCTAAAAGAATGATGGCCTACAGTCCTAGACTGACTGAGAGCATCTAGAAGCACGCAACACTGTACTTGCGTATGGGATGTGGTGAGAATGTTGAACTAAAGCAGCATGAAAGGATGATCTGTGATCTAATATGGACATGGTAAAGACATCAACCTACTTTGCCAGAAGTAGCTTGATGGGAAACAAAAAGTCTGTTTTACAAACTAGTTTGAAACTTCCAAATTTGTTTTTCTTCAGATAGCGGACGTGATCATTTAAACATTTCATTTATATATACACAAACACCCCTAGCTCCAAGCTTCTTCTCTGCCAAACAACAGCAGCAGCTTCTGGTTAACTCTGGTTTTGCACACACCAAACAAGTGGTCAGACAGCTTAGATATTAACAACTGTTTGTGTGTTTCAGGTGCACCTGAGATCATAACAGGCAGGAGTGGAGGTATCTTTCTAGTAAAAAAGTTGAAAGCATAAGGAAGAGACATTTCTGCACAAATAACAAGCACACTGCAGTCAACATCACTCTGCTGAAGGAAAAAAAAAATTCCTAATTAAATTAATCAAATATCCTCATGTCCCCAAATATTCCTATGAAATGACAGTTCTGAATAAATGTACAAGTTTGTGATCATTTGAACCAGACAGTCACAAGACAAAAACTCTGAAACAGAACATAATAGAGTTGATGGACTCCATTAAATTTTGGGTTTGTTTTGGCAGTTTGGGGGTGTGCTTTTTAGATTCTTGGGTGTGGGGATTTGTTATTTTCTTTTAAACACAAATCTGAGAGTAAATCTTTAGGTCTCTGCAGGTCCAAAATTTTCTGTGTTTCAGATGAGTCCTTACTACCTCTTTGGAGATGCTTTGGGAAAATAAGTACAAGAGGGAGAAGCTGAAGACACAAAACAAACGGAATATGTTATGCACATTAGGAAAGAATTCCTTCTAAACACATTTGCTTGCTGATCTGTGTAGTTGAAGGAGTACATGGTACCCACTGATTTTGTCATAAACCAGAAAGAAAGGTCAAAAGCACATTTAGAATATTAATCTATACATACAGATTATATCTACAGATTAATATAATAATAATAATCAATTTGGCAGAAAATAAAAGAAGCAAGATATGGCAAAAAGGCACATGTCTGAAACCAACCTCTGCAATAGCAACTAAAAGAAAATGTAGTTCAAATACACAAACTATTTTCAAAAAGTTGCAGACACAAGTAATTGAAAGTAATTAATTGTGTAAGTAATGAAAACAATAGGCTTAATTAAGATTCAAATAAATCAGTGTTATGGAAAAAAAGTGAAATGCATAAAACAGTCAAGCATGGAAGCAGAGGATAATTGGGCTGGAAAGGACCTCTGGAAGTCTTCTAGCCCAACCTGGGGGCCTAGACTGGTCCACTGAGGGCAGATTGCTCAGAATAGTCAGTTCAGTTTTAAATATACTCCATGATGGTGATTACAAAGCCTCTCTGGACATCCTGTGTTTGACTGTGTTCCTGTGTTTGATTACCCTTGCAGTATAATTTTTGTTTCCTCTTGTCCTTTCACTAAACACTCTTGAGAAGACAAATCTGACTACGCCTTCTCATCCATCCTCCACCATGCTAGTTGATAGTAACAATGAAATCTTCCCTGAGCTTTCATTTCTTCAGTATGACCAAACCAATTTCTTTCTGCTTTTTTTTTGTCCATCACATGCTCTGACACTGTCATCATCTCGGTGAGCATCCAGAGGACTTGCTCCAGTACACCACCGTTTCTCACAACAGATTCCAGATGCCATCTCAAAAACAAACACTGCTGGCTCTACTTTTGCTACTGCAGCCTGGTATGCAGGTCACCTTCAGCACTGCATGAGCACACAGCAACAGCTGGTTTGTATTTCAAGTCCTTGTCCATCAGCATCACACATCTTTTTCTGCAAAGCTACTTTCTAGACACACATATCCCAGCTTACACTATTGCTCAGGCTTATTCCATCCAAGAAGTAGGACTTAGAATTTGCCTGTGTCGAACTTCAAGAGGTTTCCTCTCAGTCCATTCCTTGGTCCTATCCCTCTGAAGAGCACTCCTACTACCCAGAATACCAATCACATTCCACAATTTGGTCTAACCACAAACCTAAGAGAAATTCTATCCCATCATCCAAGGCATTAGGAAATTCTTTTAAATGGCATCAATCTCAGTACCAGTCCCTTGAGCATACCATTAAAGACAGACTTTCCAATTGAACTTTGGAGGAAGGAAGGAATTCAGTATGATGACAGGAACAGCTCACAATACCTTTTGGCTAGTCACAATCCCTTGAATCCACCAGCTGAGTCAACTTTCCATGCATCATCTTGTCCACTTATTGAGTCTATATCTTATCAACTGAGTTGTAAGGATAACTGGAAGCTGACAAAGGTTTTGTTAAAGTCATGGTATGAAAGATCCATCACTGTTTCTTTAGTTACAGGGCCAGTTATTTCACCAAAGAGAGCAATTGTGTTGATCTGATCAGACATAAGTGGTCTCATAAATCCATGCTTGATGTTTCAAATCACATTTTCTTCCTTGTGACTAGGAACACCTTTCAGGAAAGTTTGCTCAATAATCCTTGCAGAGGGTGACGTTTGCCCTTCCTCAAAATCAATGAGATATTTGCATTTTTCTAATCATCAGGAACATCCACAATAACTATGACCTTTCAAAGATGACAGAATGGCCTTGGAATGATATTAGTCTCCTCTTTCAGCATGCTTAGAATCAATCCCATGTAGTGCCATGTATTTATGAATGTCAGTTGCACTAAGCACACCCTAATTCTACCTCCTTTGCAGGCAAAGCTGCACTCCCACATGCTGTTTCTAGACTCAGATAGCTTGAGAGTGATACCAAGTGAAGAGTATTAATAAGTTTCCTTCAGACCACAAGGACAGATCCTTGACCCCAGTTGTTTTATGGATGTATAAAATATTTCTTTGCTTGACATGAGACCTGGTAGTTTAGAATGTCCAGCCTCCTCTTTGTCCCTCTAACGGGACAATCTAAGGACTAACAAGCACAAAATTTGTAGTAGGCACATATCTGAGGAGAGTGACCTGATGTCACCCCCCCCCCCCCCCCATGTGGGATAAAGGCAGAGAACTCGAGATCTTTAGGAGGTGGCATGAAAGTTGCTTGATGCATACCACAGAGTCTGAAAAGCAAGCACAGGGCAGAAGGAAGGAACACAGTATGATGGCAGGAACAGCTTACAATACCTTTTGGCCACTTTTTCCAACAGTGGATCTCCATAAATTGCTGTTATCTAGCAAATCTGTTAGATAAGACACAGACTGAGTGACTATAAGCATTTATTGGAATGCCTCTATTTATTCCTAAAAATAAATTAAAATACACACGCTTCTTTTGAGCAGACTTAAAAATTCATGCACTCATTAAGAGGCAAATGAGATGATCAAATCTGAGTGTTTTTGAAGCAGGCAATGTGCTTCATGAAGAAGAAAAAGAGACAAATGCTCCATTTTTAGAAAAAAATAATCCTGAGAAAATCCTGTACAATGGGACACAGCTATCTGTAACAGCTATTTTTTCTTGTTGCAGTTATTTATTATCGGTAAAAAATGTTTCATAATCATACAAGACTATTAATCACTCAAAAGCACAGTATTTCTATTGCATAAATTTATCATGATTTACTTTACCCATTGCTGCGTAGTATTTTGACTTAGTGAGGTCACTGGACAATCTTCCTAGACTCCTAAGTCTAGACTTTCCCATTTTGCTTTTAGAAGAAAGACACAAATTTTCTATTGCACCATACTATATTTCCGTTCTCATCTGGTACGCCTGGTCACACTCAGCATTATAAAGATTTGGCCGTTATGAAAATATCAAAAAGCTACAAGAGTTAATAGAAGAAAATCTAATTTTTCAATTTATTTTGGAGAAAACTCTTGTATAATTCCCTGGGTGTCTAACTATATTTATATATGTATGCATATTGTAAATATATTTATTTGTGAAAAAACCCCAACAGTAAGAATCAAGCTTAAAAATTAGATTTCTTCAATAGCCAGTACACAGGAAGCATATTTCATATGGCCTGTTGTCTTCATTTTCACTAATTTTTTACAGGTAGTTGACAATAATCTGTTCAGCTGCTCTATTTCTAGTCTGCCTTTTCTTTCAGTGTACATTTAGATTCCTTCAGCAACTCTCAGAAAAGTACACCTGTTCTGCTGACACTACTCCCATACCTTGAACAGTATCTGTTCATAATTCATAGTTTTGAATTGCCTGACATACAGAAAAAAAATCTATTAGGACCAATATCAACAGAACAGATTTTACACGTGCAAAATGGCAACACAAACCAAAATATCAAACCATAATCAGTATCTGAACATAAAACAGTGCATGACACCCAGATATTAGTCTGGTTTTTAATCAATCTATCCAGAATTCTTTTCTATTTACAGATGAAAACATAGGACATTATAAAATATTTATAATTCAAGTGAGATTAAGACAAGAATCAAACACTGCTAACATATATATATATAGGCATTTCCTCTGTTGACAGTTTGCTTTCCATTTTAAACCTTACTCAAATGAAAAACATACAGGTTGGAAAGTATGCACAAATTATTAATGTAGTGAAGCTTTCTTACATGACTTGGACTCCGGTGATGGTGGAGAAATGTTGGACACAGCAAGGTCGCTCTTTGACTTTTTAGGCTTTTTTGCATTTACCTGCCAAGGCTTATCATAATTTCTAAAATCTCTTCTTGTTCCTTTATTTTCTGTTAAAAGAATCAAATTAGATAATCATAACATTTGTAGGGTAATTTCTCAAAGACTCAACAAAGAATTAACCAAAAAACCCCCAAGGTATATCAATCCAAATTAAAGACAGCTCTTTTTTTTCCTCCTATTTCTGATTGCTTTTATATTTATTATATTTATTCCACTTTTTAAATATCAAAGCTTAGAAATTAATCTGTTTTTCATTAAAAAGGTCTATTTTTTGTTATGAAAAAGTATTTACTGTCCCTGTTATGTACATGTTTTACCATCTATGTTAAAACTGTGTATTTGATATAAATGGTTGATTTGTCAGTAAATTAATATTTTGGCTACCAGCAACTATTTAAGCTCTATAGTCTGAAACAGATCATCATCCAATTTTTAAACACAAAAGTAATATTGTAATAGTAGCTTGTACCAGAATATGAAAACCAAGTCTTCTATTTTACAATCAGAGCAGATAATACTTCAGAATATTATTTTAATGCTTTTGAAGATTTACAATCATAAATTATTCACACTGGAGTTTATAAAGTAGCATAGCGGCTCCTCATTAAGCGCTGGGATGATAGGTATATAAAAACATATATTATTAAAGAAAATATCTCAATAGAGTTTAATCTCAGGCACAAATACACCATGGGAGGGAAAAGGAAAACAAAGAAAGAGGACAGCAAGGGAACCTCTCTCACTGAGCTTGGGACTGTTTCCATTCTGTAACTCTGATGCATACTCTGATGATACAGACAGCAATGTATATTAAATTCAGTATCTGCTGGATAAACAGGATTTATTATGCATGCTCAAAACCATAAAGCAGTACCTGTTCAGTAGGTACATATGCATCCAGAAAATCATGGACACAAGTGTGGGAAGATTATACTGGAGACCAGTCCTTTCCAGCACACAGAACATACCTGATGTTTCACTCTCTGCCCAAAGGGCAGCAGAGCCAGACAATGTTCTCTGAAGCTGACCGCGGTTTCCCTGCTTGGACTGAAGATGATCAATTAGAAATGGGATTGGTTGGTCAGGTGTCTCCGTTATCAGCTTGGTCATCAACTCCTTTAGAAAATTAAGCCAAAACAAAAAATTAGTGAGATATTGCACCTAAATTAATCTTGTATTTACCAAAAGAAAATGAGCATTTATAAAGGAAAGACTGTCAACAGGAAAGCATCTTCTATGCCATGCATTGGTGCTATCCAGCTGCTGTTCTGCACCTTGGCTGTGCAGGACTGCAGAAAAAGAAACACTCTTCATTATTGCTGCTGGGGTTCCTTCTGGCTTCCTAGGCATAAAACACATTAGGAATCCAGAAAGAAGCTGTGACTCTGCTCTGTGCATGTGCTCTGAGAGGAAATGAATGACTCAGGGCAGGTGAGGTGACCCTGAAACCCATTTAGTTCTACAGAGATCTGTGGCTGCTGCTGCAAAATGAGAAAGCTTCACAGAAGTAAAAAATTACAGGAATGTACAACAAAATAAGAACAAAATTAAAAAAAAAAAACAAAAAAAAAAAAAAAAAAAAAAACCAAACAAACAAACAAAAAAAAAAAACCCAAAACAGCTAAGCTAAGTTATTCAGAGCATATAGTCTCTCTTCACCTATTCCCAAGTATACCTATTCCCAAGTACAGGGGAATAGATATATATATTCCCATATATATATATGTATATATATATGTAACTTAACACAACTTACATGCATTTAATTCTATCCCCACTTCATCTTTTCCACACACTTTCATGTAATAATTTTTTTTTTCAAATGTCAGTAGTTACTTAGCTTTACTATCAATTAAGTGTGTTGGGAGAAGATACATCAGAGGAAGTATACCAAATAGCAGCAAACATGAATAACTGCACAGGGGATTACTAAAGCACAGCAAGTTCTCTTTGCCATCAAAAAGGACAAAATATGTCCAATCTGCCCACATGTCTTGTTAAGACACAATCTTCTGTGATGTAATTTTTGATACTTATCCACAGTGAAATGAAAAACCCTAGCTTTCTCTGGTTTTGAACTGCAACTCCACAGGGAGAAATTAAGCTACTTACTAATCTTAGAATTGTTGGAGCTGTGGAGCACAACTTCATCTGGACTGCCTCTTACCAAGGCAGGAGAAACCCTCCCATATACATCATACAAGAAAAAAATCAGAAATTGCAGTAATTCATATTTTAGTTGCTTGGCAACACTAAGAGCAAACCTTTATTCTTTTCCCAGCCAAAATGCAGAATTAGCGACAACAGGAAGATGTAATCTAGTACTTGTAACAGACCACAACAGCTATAGTAACTCCACTACAGAGGATTCTATTACCAAAGGAAAAGTGGCAATCTGTTACATCTGACTTGTAATTTAAATAATTTCTCAGAATCATGGTTTGAAAATTATTTTTGTCTTAGATTAGTAATACATTGCAATATTAACATAGTATTGAAAAAGGTAATACAGAAAAATGAGAAATTTTAGAATGCCTACATATCAATGTAAGACAAATGCTACTTGATTGTTGCCATAACTGATTTGCTTGTAGCAGGAAGAAATGGTCTTTAAGTAACAGAAATGCATCTAATAAAATAAAACCGATTACAAGATTCCTTACCTCTTCTGAGATGTAGCAAAAAACCTAAAGATCAAGGTGATGTGAAACTAGATTCTATTAAAAAGGACTGCTTTTTGTACCTATTGTTATATTGATAATAAGACCTGAGTGACATAGAGATCTCTGCTGTCCAAGAGAATAATCAGTCCTACCCTGAGACAGCAGTCAGAAAATTTTAAAGAACCGTAGATAGACACTACTTTTATCTGGAATAACAAATGTGTTGCACCAATCCTGTACACCTAAAGTGAAAAAAAAATAAATATAACATTGCTGAAATCCTCAGGAACTGAAGAGTGTGAAGTTCTGAGAAAAAACCTACTTATTTGTGTAATAAGCCTCCAACTGATTTGCCTCAAGCACTCTCGGAAATGTCATTAAAAGTAAATGCAACTTAAAACGAGCACAAAGGCAACTCAGCTTATAAAATCTGCCATTTAAGGAAGACAAAACTCTTTACTACAAGTATTCCACTGCAAAAGGGGAGAAAAGAAACAGTTAGGAAACTACTTCTCAAGCTGCTTCAAGCAAGGTTTGGAAGTGGTCTCCAATTTACCACTTTTCATGGAGTTCCTGAACTCTGGACAAGGTGCAGAGAACACCTCCACTTCAAGAACAATAGCTTCAGACATCTACTCTCTGTGTAAATTCACATGCTGAAGGTGTTATCTCTCTTCCATATCCTTCTGCCTCACACAGACAGACATCCCAGAAATAGGATCACAGCTCCATGACCCTCACTGCCTTTGTCCTTCTATCAGTTTCTGCCAAGGGACATAACTACCAGTTTCATCCAGTTTCTACCAGTTTCATCAAGGGATGCAACTCCAGCTGCTCAGCTCTCCACCTGTCCTCTTCAAGCTCATGTTTCCTTTGAGACTTTTTTCATCCCCAGCAAATTGGCAATTACTACATGGAAATACGCTAGCTGCCTGAATTCAATTGCTTGGCTATGCCATGAGGTGGGAGGGTTGGAGAGGCAAGAAAAATAAAAATAAAGCCAAACCCAAGCTACCCAACAAGAAACAAGCACAAAGCTTCACCAACATTAACTGTACACAGTGAGTGCTCACCTAATTTTTAAAGTAAAAACACATACTTCTGTGGAGGTGAAAAGATATTACAGATGAGGAATGCCAACTAAAGGGTATTCTCATTCTAGCACCATTCTCTAGAAAACTAACTTAAACTTCTGATTAAATTATCAAAAGCTTATTTAATGACCTCATCTGTTGCTCAGGTGACATCTTAATAGACAGCAAGAGTAACATACTACATGGTACTCTAAATATACTTTCACATGTTTGAGCTGTCTCTTAAAAAAGATGACAAAAATGAATGTATTAAATAAGAAAAACTAAAGCATACAAGGTACAAAAATAATATTCCTTTTTGGTTAGCAGCAGTCTGATCTGACTCACAATGTGCTAAGTAGGCAAGGTTTCACAAGAAAAAGAAAAGGGAAAAGACCAACTAGTCGCACTGAAGACGCCTCTGCATTAAAAGCAGAACAAAAATGCCACAAGATCATTGAAACTCAGATTCATTTTTTCATTAACAAATCATCAGGTAAGTTTCAACTCTTCATAAAAAATAAGTGCAAAACACCTAAAGGTAAGTCTCTTAAAAATATTAGTTACACTTTTCACATTTTTAGCTCAAATTTCTAGGTTTTCTACAATTCAAATAAGGCAAGTCTGTTGTTCTTATAACAACAAATAAAAAGCCATAGCAGATTGGGTCTCCATGCTGCCAAACAAACTGCTTACTACCCATAATCTCTCCCCTCCCACCTCCTTTCTGCTGCTGTGTTTTCCTTTCACTCTACGTCCCTTTGTCTTTTCTATCAGTGGACTCCACACAGTTTCTTCCTCCCAGCTGTGTAAGAAGTGAAGCAGCTGATCAGAAGTCAGTAATAATGAATTCCCTCTGCACCCCTGAGACACACTGGAGCACAGAAAAGGGGCCAAAGGAAACTTCCATGGTTACTACAGACTAGAGCACTCAGATGAATACATCAATTTCTACTGCTTCCCAATTCTACTGCCCCAAATTAGGCTCTGCCCTGTCTAAAGGCAGAATGAGAAAGAACAGGAAGGTGATACAAGCTCTTTCAGTTAATTGCTTCATGGATTTTACCTAGCAGTGTGCAAACCAGTTCTTCTTTCTTCATACCTTGTAAAGGTATCTTTATATGCTCCTACATTCACTAGTTTTACTGAACTATGTTACTAAGACTGTTTAAAAAAAACACTTGTGTAAGTTCATTTGTGGATAGCTCTCTTCCAAGAGAGATTCATGCACATGTAATGAGGCTGCAGAAGATCTTGAAAAAAACACCAGGTCTAAAGTAGTGGCTTAATATATTAATTATTTATTAAAAATATACAGAATTTATAAACAATAATTTATAAAGAATTCTTTATATCTTTCACTATTGTGCTATCCTGAGGTTCTCTATTAGTTATTCAATGAAGGCTCAAATTTTTATTTCCTTGTAACTTTCCAGGCATTTAATACAAATGAAACAGTCTTCACAGTCTATTAATCATAAGCCAAATTACAAGAAAGTCCTAATTAGCCCTGTCTCAATGTACATATCAGGTTATTAAGTTAATTAAGAGACATTCTATCTTGCCCTGTAATTGGTAACGGTAACTACACAACAATCACATTTTAACTGAACAGACTTGTATAGACTATGGCACAGTATTCACAGATTCTGGCTGTGTTACACTCTTTCTTTCATGGATTAAATTAGAAGTTTAAGTACAATTAAATACAGCAAGTCTTCACAGCCATGTCAGTAGTGACTTTGTCCATAAAGAAGTCATGAGGGGCTAGATGTCTCCCAGCTGACCAGCCAGAGTATGTCCACTTAGGATAGGAAGAATTGCTCTCCTGGCTCCACTGACTTATTGGAGATACATGCACTGGGTACAGTGAAGCTTGGACACTTAGACATCTAAAATTAGACTTGCTAACCCCTTCATACAGGCTGTGAGTAAATAAACAAGATAAAAATTGAGGGAAAACTTGTGGGAGGACAGTAGGTTTAAGAAACTTTTTAACAACTGACACTTTTTTGTTAGAATTCCATTCTGATTACTGCAGTAACAAAGCAAGAAAACAAAAATAAATAATTCCTTTTAAGTATATTTTAACATTATTCTTACTGACTAAATTAAGTCTTAAATTCTTAAATGAGAGCAGAAATGACTGCTTAAATGACTGCTTCCACCAAAAAGTATTATTTTCTATGGAAACAAATGAAAAATAACAGCATTCTTCTTTTGGAAAATAGCCAGGCTTTAAATATTCTTGAGCAATTCTTAATTAAAAGTAGTAGAATCCATTATAAACTATGAATCAAATGGACTTCAACATATTTTATCTTCATTAAATGATCATCACATCTCCCTGTAAAATAAATTATTAAATCTGACACAAATT